GGACTGAATTAAACTCAGGTTTTAAATAACCTTAGTTGCTCCCCCCTGTCTTTTTATTTTTTAACATATATATCTGGAAGAAAATACATATGTATTTTCTCCCAGAACTTATCTTAAAAGAAATATGTTATTGTATGTTTTACTTTACAAAATGTGTCTGGTTTTTTTTTCTAATGCATGAAGTGTTAATGCACAAAATAACAATTGAACATACACAGTTAATAGCAGTGACATGGCAAACAAGCTATTGGGTGTACCTTTTATCTTTAATTTCGTATATAAAATTTATCATTCTATACTTATTTATTGTGTCAAAACTTATGGAAACTTTAGTTTACACTTCTAAAATTGAAAATAAATATATTTTTTTTAGATAATAATTAAAAATAAATGGCAAGTTCATCTTTAGATCTAACTCAATGTTGCATTGGAAAAAAATTAAATGAAAATTGTCATTAAGGAAAATTTACGAAAATCAAGAAAATTAAATTTTTTAAGGAATTAACAAAAAAAGATCAAGAGCTTGTGCACTTAAGATGTAAAGTAAATCCTATTAAAACTATTTGTAATCACCATGAAAAGATCTTCTTGGATAGATTTGAGTCATCGTATGTTGGAAGCTTTTGTTGCGATCCTTTTAACAAACACAAAATTAAAATTAAAAGTATTTAAAAATAGATTAACTTAATGATTATATTAAAGATAAAGTCTTTATTTATTTATTTATTTAGTGTTTTATCATATATTTTTTTAGAATCTGTTAGAGTAATCAGTGCTGCTGTTGCAAAGGAATTTGATTTAATACCTGGTTATAAGCTTTGTACAGAATGTCGTAAAATATTGCACTTAAGAAAACAAGAACATGAAAGCAATTCATGTAAAAATCAAGATAACGATTTTAACGGGATTCATATTTCAAAAGAAAACTTTAATTTAAGCATTAACACCTTTGGTTGTTCACCTCTAAAACTAGTAGCTTATAAAGACAGAGTCAGCTATGCAAAAAGAAAGATTAACAAGATCCATACTGCAACCAAAAAGAAAATAGCAACTGTTTTAGATGTTTCTCCGGATTTAATAA